CCCCAAAACCCCAAAACCCCAAAACCCCGTGTGAAGAATTTTCAGGTTATTATGAAATTAAGAATATTCTTAGTAAATCAAGGGACTTACTTTTTAAACAGTAATGAAACTTTTTCACTCTCATCAGCTATTAATAATCGACGGAAAAAGTGATTGAAATAATTGTACTTTGCAGTGGAAGAATCAACCTCAGGCTAAGGATCAGACCATCCTCCATCAAACGACTCTGATTATATTGTTACACTCAGCAAAGCTGCCACTAAAAACTCACAGAGTTTCCTCAGCCATGTTCTTACCCAGCTATCAATAGGCTTAATATCATTTTTGTCAGAATGAGTATAATCATCCAAGCGCTTCTTTTTGAAGTAGCGCTCGTCATTGCTTATCTAAACATTCATGAGCTCTCCATTCTTATCTCTGACTTATCTGTACATTTTCTAGAAAGAATTTACATATGGTCTTCTGTATCTAAACATCAACTTGAAAAGACATTCCTATTAAAAATTAGAAACAATTATATCCTTACAAAAGCAAGAGTAAGAGACATTTATAAAATAACCTTTCTCATTGATTTGTTAAAAAACATAGGTAAAGTTATTAAACCTGTGATAACTATAAAAGATTGTAAATTAAATGTGTCTTACAAGCAGCATTAAAAGCAAAGATTTTCCTTTATGACTATTGAAAATAAACTCTTTGAAGACATTAGAATAGCTTTTGAAGAAGAGAAAATACAGCAGTAAATAATCCTATTTTAGCAATCACAACTTTTCGAGATTTCAATACCTACTAGAAAATTTCAATTAATGAGAGATTTTTGTTTTTATTCTCAAGTACAGAAATGAGTGAGTAAAAGTAGGTTGACATTATAGCGCCTTTCATAAAATTCTAGGGAAAATTTTAAGTAATAAACTTAAGGCAACTCTTATGATGATGACAAAGCACGTATTTGTATATCATGAAATTTGTTATAGTTAGATCATCATTGATTGCTTTAGCAACTTTAACTTTTCTCATTTTGCCCCAGCCATCCTAGACTATTTCAAATTGGTCATCACTGTCTGAATTAGAATCACTTTTGAAATCTGAGGATGTGTCTGAATTTCTTCTAGGATGTTTTTATTGATATGCTTTTTGGTTAAGTTGAAATGGGTTTTAAGACTAATTTATCATTTATTTATATTCAAAAAATATTATTAATGTTGCTTATATTCAGATTATATATTTTTATGCTAGGGGTTTTGGGGTTTTGGGGTTTTGGGG